GGTTTCACCCAGGGTGTAAACGAACCTACTCATCGTTTCAACCACACCCTGGATCTTGTTTTAGCTTATGTCATTGAAATCCAAAACCTTACAGTTTTCCTAGAAAATCCTCTTCTATCAGACCATTTCCTTATTACTTTCTACTTTGTCCTACCAGAATTATCTCTCCTTAATAAAAATGTGCTCTCTAGAAGTTTATCTGATAGTGCTGTAGCTAGATTTAAGGAAGCTATTTCAGCTGCTTTTGATTCAGTATCGTGTTTCAACCCAGTTGGAAACTCTTATGATAGCTTTAGTCCCTCTCAGCTAGATCAGTTTGTTGATAGTGCAGTGAATTCGCTGAGAGTTACTCTTGATTCGATTGCTCCCTTAAAACAGAAGGTTGTCAAACGGCGGAGAATAGCTCCATGGTTCAACTCAGAAACCCGTACTCAATATATGAAGGCTCTATGTCACGCTCGAGCTGCCTACTACTCCTCTCTAATCGAGGAAAACAAAAGCAATCATCGATACCTTTTAAGCACTGTAGCCAGGCTGACAGAGAGTCATGGCTCCATTGAGCCTTGTATTCCTATAGCCCTCAGCAGTAATGATTTCCTGAGCTTTTTCAACAACAAAATTCTAGACATCAGAGACAAAATTAGTAACCTCCTGCCCTTACCTGGTGCAGATACGTCTGATACGGCAGAGACAGTTCCAGGACCAGATATTAGTCTAGACTGTTTTTCTCCAATCAACCTTTCAGAGCTAAATTCAATTATTTCTGCGTCGAAACCGCCAACTTGTCTTTTAGACCCAATCCCGACCAAGCTGTTTAAGGAAATCTTTCCCTTAGTTAGCAACTCTATATTAGATATGATCAATTTGTCTTTACTATGTACCACAGTCATTTAAAGTAGCAGTAATCAAACCTCTACTCAAAAAACCTACTCTGGATTCAGGAACTCTAGCTAACTATAGGCCTATATCCAACCTTCCTTTTACATCAAAGATCCTGGAGAAAGTGGTAGCTAATCAGCTGTGTGACTTTGACAACGGTTCAGACTGTTACAACAGTTTATTTGAGGAGTTTCAGTCAGGATTTAGAGTCCACCATAGCACTGAGACTGCACTAGTTAAAGTTACAAACGATCTACTTCTAGCTTCAGACAGGGGACTTCTCTCTGTGCTCGTCTTGTTAGATCTTAGTGCTGCTTTTGACACCATTGACCATCAGATCCTATTATACAGACTAGAACATTTACTTGGAATTACAGGGACTGCTTTAAGTTGGCTTGAATCCTACTTACCAGACCGATCTCAGTTTGTACATGTTAATGATAAGTCCTCTATGCACACCAAAGTTTGCCATGGAGTGCCACAAGGTTCAGTGCTTGGACCAATTCTCTTTACATTATATATGCTTCCTCTGGGAAATATTATGAGGAAACACTCCATACAGTTTCATTGTTATGCAGATGATACTTAGCTTTATGTATCAATGAAGCCCGATGGCACCAGTCAGTTATGTAAGCTAGAAACATGCCTTAAGGACGTTAGGACCTGGATGACCAGAAATGTTTTGCTACTTAACTCAGACAAGACTGAAGTTATTGTGCTAGGCCCTAAGAACCTCAGAGAGACTTTTTCTAGTGATTTGACTGTCCTTAATGACATCAGCCTGGCATCTAGCACCACTGTTAGGAATCTAGGAGTTCTATTTGATCAAGATATGTCCTTTTGCTCTCACATCAGGCAAATTTCAAGAACAGCCTATTTTCACCTTCGTAATATAGCCAAGATTAGGAATATCCTGTCGCAAAATGATGCAGAAAAACTAGTTCATGCATTTGTTACCTCCAGATTGGATTATTGTAATTCTCTTTTGTCAGGGTGCTCTGGTAAGTCTCTAAAGACTCTTCAACTAGTCCAGAACACTGCAGCTCATGTATAGACTAGAACAAGGAAAAGGGACCACATTACTCCTGTGTTGGCTTCTCTGCACTGGCTCCCTATACAGTCTAGAATAGAATTCAAGACCCTTCTTCTCACTTACAAAGCTCTAAATGGCCAGGCACCATCTTATCTTAAGGAGCTACTAGTGCTGTACTGCCCCTCGAGAACATTACGGTCACAGAATTCAGGCCTACTAGTGGCACCTACAGTCTCTAAGTGTACTATGGGAGGTAAAGCCTTCAGTTATCGGGCTCCTCTCCTCTGGAATCGCCTTCCAGCCGGGGTCTGGGAGGCAGACAGTCTGTATTTTTAAGAATAGACTTAAAACTTTCCTTTCTGATAAATCTTATAGTTAGGGCTGGTGCTGGTGTAGACCAGCTCTTAGTTATGCTGCTATAGGCTTAGACTACCGGGGGAACTGGCACCTTGAGCTCCTCTCTCTCTCTCTCTCTCTCTCTGTCTCGCTCTCTGTGTGCATATACAGCACATCATATTACTGCATGTATCTATCTGTATATCTCAGTCACTAACCACCTACTTTCCTGGGATCTCTTGAGCTCTCTTAGGCTCCTCAAGATCGTTGGTTGACGGCCTTCCAGAACATCCTTTTAATAAAGCAGTTTTTTCTTACCACTGTAACTTTTGCTGCCTTGCTAAAGTGCTCATGATGGATAGGCCGGATCTTTGTAACATAGCAATAAGTAAGGTCTTTTTATCTGCTCTTTTGTAATGTTAACAGACAATGAGTAAGGTATTTTACCTGCTTTTTGTAAAGTGTCTCGAGATAACACTTGTTATGAGTTGACGCTATACAAATAAAAATTGATTGATTGAAAATTGATTGATTGACATCGGGAAAAAGTCTCTTTCTATGCCCTACCATCTCTATAGCCAGTCTGTGCTCAACTAGTTTCCTTTCCTTCTCTTGCTGCCGCCGCCTTTAACAGCCTTAACCCTGGATGCCCATCCTCACTGCAAAACAACACAAACATTCTCGGAAAGCTGCACTCCCCACACCAGTATCACAGCTTGGGCGTAGCAGGAACATTTGGTTCTTTTCCTGGAGAGAGGAAGAAAGCCACAGCCACATACACACACAAACAGCCACAGTGAAGCCCTGAAGGAGTATTCTGAGGTGTGGCTTCTACTCCAGCTGACAGAAACAGTCGTGATAAGTTGTTGACTTTGGAGACGCTGCTCGTGGCAGGTGCTCCTCAGTGGCCGAGGTGAGGTCATGTGACCAACTGGGGGCAACGAAAACAAGCTCACCACCGCACACTTGAGGAGCTTAGTGTCAGGTCCAGTTTTCCACAGATCCTGGATCCTAACAGAGGCTTTCTGAATCAGGCAGCATGAAAGGGCTCCACATCTGGAGTCTGCTTTACAGGAAACACATCTCAATCCCCATTCATGATCAAATGTGGCATGCCGTGTGTGTGTGTGCAGCTCAGCTATAGAGATGCTATGCTACACAGCACATCGCCTCAGGATAGCTAAGCAGTCTGAGAGACGAGAGGCACACAGCGTAAAACAGAAATGAAAAAAAAGAAAAGAGCGCCTTAACCCACTTTCTACTCAAACACATCAAACATCAGAAGCCATCATCGTAGATTAGCCCGTCTCTAATCCTGCCTGTTAGCACAGCTGGGGCAGATTAGGGCGGGGGCATTCCTGACAGAGCCAACATGGCGTCACAGTCGCTGACAGCTCACCTGGAAACACATGGGGAACTGTACAATACAGCACTGTTTCAATAACACACACACACACACACACACACACACACACACACACACACACACACACACACACACAGATCAAACAAAGAGCCGGAGCTTTGCCCCCGGGCAGCGGGGTTAGGGCAAGTCAGGACTCAGAGCTGAGTGACACCTTTAAGTCGACTTGATCCTGAAACAGGGGGAGTTCTTGGTGTTAGGGGGCGGTGATTGTAAGCATGTGTGTGTGTGTGTGGAATAAAGATGGAGTGATAGATTCTGAAGGTGATTTAGAGAGTGAGGGAGACAAAGTGTGAAGGAAAAACAAAAATTAGAGGGTGAAAGTGAGGACGGTGGAAAACAGAGAGCTCTGTCACACTGCTTAAGCTTCTCAGGAAATCTGTTTAATGTGGAAGATCAGGGAGGAAATATGCTCTCTCAGTGTGTCTGGAGCTGAAAGCATGCAGTATACGACAAATGAAACAGCAGCTCCATGGCTGAGCACATGTGGCCGCGGCCTTGGCAGGTTTGGATTTCTTCAGAGGAAATCTAAAATCCATCTCTTACGCAATGTGTACTTTGTTTTCATATGTAAAGGAACAGTGTTCCCTAAAGATGAAAGGCTTCTTTTGGTTCCCCTGAACAATACCAACAGTGAAATGAACTCCTGCTGTTCTTCCCCAATGTTTAATTTGATCTCTTAACTCTTATGAGCAGTAGGGCTGTGTGATAGGATGATCTGAGGTTGCGTAGGATTAGCATGTGTTCACGATCTGCAGAGAGTGACTGTAGTGCTATAGCTCACTTTATATCAGTTTATTTTATTTCACTAAAGTATTTAATAATCTGTTCATGCCTTCCCTACAAACAAACAAATAAACCAATCATAGCAAACTGTAGGTAGTGTATTGGATTTATTATTCCATCCCCTTTAGACTCACAACTAAGCAGGAGTCATGGCAGAAAATGAAAATGAAACGTACTAGTTAGTCCCTAAAAAGAAACTGTTTAACCACCTAAAGGGACAGTTGTTGCTGCCACTGTTATTCTGCTCTCTTTTAGTTTTGCTACATCAGTATCTGCAAATGGAGGCCTTTAAATGAGCTCCAGCAAAAACATGATGCATTTAGGGAGTCTGAAATGCAGAGAAAGCTCTGACATCCCATAGAAGTATTCTGGGAAAAAAGTCTCTCAACAATCAGATTGTCTGATTGTTGACTGAATCTTTAAACCGTATCTACTGTAATTACAGGTTAGGACTCGCATCTGGATTATGTCATGTAGACCCCCTTGTGTTCAGGTGTTTGGTTATGTTTGTGGTCCATTGCAGCACCAGTGAGGAGTACTCACACTTCCTGTAGTGCCCAGGGACAGATGGTTCATCTGCTGGGTGATAGGGCCCATCATGCTGGCAGGCTGCATGGACATAGTGTGGTCCATGGCTGGCGTGATCACTGCACCCTAACGAATTGAAAGAGAAGACAGGAAAAGGTGAGATAGAAGAAAGACCAATAAGTTCTATTTCTGTGGCTTTGCATCAGGATGATAGACTGTCTTGAGTGTCTTATGTAAACGATGTACACATGTAAAAATTAAAAAAAATAAACAAAAGCAAAAGAACAGCAGAAGAAACCAAACATATCAGAAAAAAAATGATCTGATCTCACTGATTTAGCAAAATAAAAGAGGTGTATTTAAGGGTGTATAAATAAAAGTTGGGTGTGAGAGAGAGTTAAAGGTGTCGTGGGGGGAGGTTTGGGTTAGAGAGGAAAGAAGCAAACCGGAAGACGGGATAAAGAAAAATGTTGGAAGAGATGGAATCCTCAAAAACATAAAAGCAGTAAAGGTAGAGGTCAGAGGATGAGAGGTGGGTGGAGGACCAGAGGAGGGGTGAAACGAGGACATCCTAACCAGAGAAGAAGAAGAAGAAGAGGAGGAAAGGAGGGACAGCATCAATAAAAACTGCAGAGGAACACAAAGACATTTCCTAGATCAATACTCACTATTGTCTTTGGCTCATCAAAATGTTCAGTATCAGTTGCTGATGCATCAACAATATGGGTCTGTGCGCTTCATTGATCCCTGAGCCAGGATGCTTTCTGTCTGTCCCTCCCTTCCTCCCTCTCCGTCTCTCACTCACTCACTCACTCACTCACTCACTCAGCTTAGAGTCCCCGCTCTCGGTGTAACGCGCGGCGCGTTTTCCCTAACGGGCGGATGGGAATGCTAGAAGCTGCTTTTTCATGCTGCAGTGGAACATGAGGGAGAGTGATGAAACCATTGTTGGTCTTTTATCCCTTGTCATGATAGCTCCATTTCCCCAGCAGTGAAGCCCCGGGAGGAACGCGTTCAAAAACCAAGCCCTTTTCCTCTGCACAGTCTCACTTTGTGTGTGTGTTTGTGTGTGTATTTCACATACTGTAAATGTGTCTGTGAGTGTTTGTAGGTAAGCCTGCTACACACTGTGTGGAGCAGCATTTGTGCACAGAGAAAAAGCGACTGACAGTGTCTATGTGTGTGTGTGTGTGTGTGTGTGTGTGTGTGTGTGTGTGTGTGTGTGCATCTCCTATAAAGTAAGTCTGGTGTGTGTGTTGCGTGCATGTGCGCACCCCACTGGTGACTCTGTGTGGGCCTATTGGAGAACAAACTGTGCAGACACAGCCTGTCAGAATCGCTCTGCTTGCCTACGCCCTGCATACACAACACAGACAGCTGGCTCCATCTCCAGCTAGAAATGAAAGCTCTATGTGATCCTCCCCTCACTTTCACCTCGGCACAAAAAGACAGAAACTGGGTTGAACGCTGACATCAACAGTGGAAGAAGAATGTCTATAGCACCAAAGTGTTTGTAAGGTCAAACGTAGTCCCCTTGTTTTTTGTAGCAAGTCTTTCATAAATTGAAACGTATACATTACTTCATTTTAACATGTTGCAGTACACAAACTGGATAGCCTACTTTCTTACTTTAGGATGGGAGGGGCTTAACCCCCTTTACTCTGTGCAGTTTCTTTTCCTTGAGACTTTTTTTGCCCTGGGACATGACTCCCAGGTGTACAACCAATGAATAAAGACCTGAGAGGAATACCTGTAATACAACTCTTAAAGTGCTGACTATTAATGATAAATGGTAAATGGATTTTTACTCAAAGCTCTTTTACATCGCAGGTCACACCTACACATTCAGCCGTGGTTACTAATTATCAGTTACACAGTGAGTATATGATTTTATCTGATCGTATACATTCTATATAATAATCTATAAGACCTTGCACAAAATGTATCTTACACTTAATGAAGATAGTATAGCTGTTAGGTAGCTACATGTGTGTGTACGTGTGTGTTTATGCGTGTGTTTTAAATTAATTTATGTAACTTGGCAGGCTGCTAAACTGAGTTGCCTCTTTGGGAAAAATTGGGTTCTCAGTCCCGATCTAAAATGAACACATCATTTACTAAATACCTTTTATATTTATGATATATGGTCTTTATACAAGACCTCACAGTTGATGAGATGCTGTTTGATACTCATGTTAACACAATGTAGATACAATCACAAGATGCTGTGTGGAAATGATTCAATAGAATACTGTGGGTTGGATTAATATGCACTGCTATAATAACTCAATCTGGATGATGTATTTTCTAATCTAGTTAATGCAGATTAAACAGAATTGAGGATTAAAGACAGACATATATTATTGCCCATTAATTCATTATATGTTAACTTAAATCCTGAGAAGGCATCGATGGCACATTATAATTTTGTTGTATTAAAGTAGAATAAAAACACATGAAAAACAATTTATATCTTTTAAAAATCTCTATTAGCAGTTTTACAGATCATGCAGCTAAACAGATATTAACCAGACATCCAGATAGAGCTTTCTAAAGTCTTCACTGCTATATTAAAGATTTTATTAAATCCCAATGATGTAACCTGATTAAGTGAATTACAACAGCAAACTAAGTATTGGCTTTAAAAATAGCAGGAGCAACCAAATGTAAGAAATATCCCACTGTGAGAAAGTGGCTGTAGACAGAATATTAACTGGCTGTGTAATCTAATCATTCATCTGTTCTGTGTGGATGAGCCTGCAGAGAAGTGGCTGTAAACTTCTAGGAAATGTTTTGGGACAAAAAGCACAATATTCCTCTCTAAAATCTCTAAAGCAGTAAAAAAAGAAAAGAAAAATACCCAGTGCCTAGTTAAGCTTCCCCACTGACTGTGACAGAGAAAAAAAAAAGAAGGGGGGAAAGGGAAATGAGGAGACAGACAGAACGACTGCTAGGACAGAGAGAGGGATGATTAAGGAGAAAGCTGATGGAGGTCATGAGGAAGACGAGAGCGAGGAAGAGACAGACGGGGAGAGGGAGGAGAGAGAATTAGAGAGAGAAGGGCTGAGGGGGGAGAAAGAGAGGGAAGAGACAAAGAAAGAAGAGGAAGTGAGGCTGAGGAGCGGGAGGGAAGCAGCAGGAGCTGTGGGCTACCTGTTACTGATTCAGCCTCTGACAATGCTTTTATAATGGGAAAGGGAGAGCAACGGAAAGGCTTAATTCACAGACGTGTCAGCGAGAGTTAAGCCGATTTGTGATTTCGATTTTCTGTGTTTGTGAGACTGAGTGTCTGTGAGAGAGGGAGGGTTTTAGAGTGCGTGTGTGCGTATGTGGGTCCGTCGTTTTGTGCGTCCATCCGCTGCCAGACTGGGGAGGACAGAAACTGAGAGTTAGTGTGTGTGTGTGTGTGTGTGTGTGCGTGCGTGCGTGCGTGCGTGCTTTAGAGGATATTGATCCAAGTGCAGACAGGAGACAGATGATATCAGCCCTGTGGTAGTTAAATACGTTGATAAAAGCTCAACGGGCAGAGACAATGTACAGTAAATAAGAAATCTAGTAAAAAAATCTTACAAGCAGCCGTGTTTTTTAACAGCCGCTCATTACGAGTAAATAAAAACCCTCCGACTGAAGGAGTGCTGATCCATATCAGATGAAACTCACTATTTGGCTTTAGAGTTGCTGACCAGGAATAACAATGGTAAAACGGGTGAGTTAAATACATAAATGTCACAGAGTTATTGGGTGTTTTTACTGCTAAAGTATATCCACAGGCAGAGTGCTTAACATTCCTGTCTGGATTCACACAGACTCAATATGCAGTCAGGTACGTCAGGGCCGTATTCAATATTGAGTATTTGGTTTCTAGCTGCACGGAATTCTATCCAGTGTTGTGAATGCACACATGAGATGTCTCAGATCATCAGGTTGAATTCCTCCTGAATATACCTAAACATCACAGCAGGTGAAGGTTCATTTAGTCACTGAGGTGCTGTTTCCCTGTTGACCTGAGATCAGCTTTATGTCCTCTGTAAATCTTTAGACAAGTCTTTTTCTCTTATGTCTTTGGTAGGTAGTGTGTTTGTGTCTGTGAGTGCATGTGTTGCAACGCCCGAATTTCCCCTCTAGGGATCAATAAAGTATCATCGTATGGTATCTTAACTTACCCTTGTGTGTTTCTGCTGTAGTCGCTGCAGCAGGAAAAGGAGAAGGAATATAAGAGCTATTTTTTAACTATTTAGACGTGTTCTGTATGTGTTGATTCAAGTTTATTTTACAGTATGTGTTTTGGCATTTGAATGTGTTTTAGAACTCACTTTTACCCTGAAGATTTATTTTCTGCTTTTTATGCCTTTATTTTGATAGGACAGCAGATAGAGTTTGAAAGGAAAGAGAGAGTGGACTGAGATGCTGGAAAGGAGCCACAAACTAACTGCTAGGCCAACCAGCACCCCAAGAACTAATTTTTTAATTGTAAATTTGTGTTCGTTTTTTCTTAATGTTCTTTACTGTAAAGCACATTGAGACTTCATTACAAATACATTAAATTAAATTATATCAGAGCCATTCCCTTTCTGTTTGCAAATATGTCTCGGAGTGCAATTAATGGTCAATTAACCAGAGTGTTAATGAAAGGTAGAAAAAAAAACTGATTTGAGAACACTTTTTATCAAATATTTATAAAATGGATTTTCTGAAAGGTAAAAGTTAACTTTGATTTTTTGATTATGGACAATCAGTATTCTTTAGGTTATGGACAGCTAGTTGATGACTAGGGCCTTCTCCATTGCCGCTCCCAATCTCTGGAACTCACTCCAAAGAAACCTCAGAGACCCCCCCTCACTCTCCATCTTCAAGAAATCCCTAAAAACTCACCTCTTCAACATCGCCTACAGACACTAACAGACTCAATTCTCATTCTCCTCCTCTTACATTATTTCTTTGTTGTTTTCTCTGTTTTGTTTTGTTGTTATTCTTAATTTAGCTTCTTTAAGTACTTTGAAAAGTGCTATAAAAGCCTAATGCATCATTATTACTATATTAGTAAGACAGTAGGAGCATTTTAAAGACATGTCTTTGGGCACTTCTGCTGAAGATTTCTTTCCTCACATTTTGTGTGTTAAGCATGC